TATAGATTTTTCTAGCCTAACATGATGGGAAGAAGAAAAGAAGAACATAACAATGAAAATCAACAAAAGACATCACCCTATTGAAATTCTTGAAGTGAAATCTTAAATCTTGGATTGAATCTTCTTGTTCCTCCTTCTTGCTCTTCAAATCCTTCCAAAATAATGTATGATGTGTGGTGTATGTTTTTGAACGTCCCTAGGGCTTCAAAAGACTCCCAAGATTTATTTCCATAAGAGTTTTAATCGGAAAAGGAAACCAGAAAATTTTCACCACGATTGGCCTAGGCTGTCGCTCAGGCAAAACCCGAGCTGTCACCCAGGCAACATTTTCTTCTCGATAATTAAAAAAAACATATGGGGCGATTGCCCGGTTTTTATAACTGGGCTGTCGCCCAGGCAAAATTTCTTCCATATGTTGCATTTTAGCCCTTGAAGTCGATTTTTGATTCTTTCAAGCCCTTTCTCTTGCATTTTCAACCCTTTGACTTTCAATTGCATCCAATTGAACCCGCAACATCTTTAATCTTCATTTTGTGGTTCGAATCAACTATTGAAATGTTGCAACTTAGTCCTCATACTTTGGATTTTCTTCATTTTTGGTTCTTTTCGTTTCTTTTCTCTTGAATTCCGCCACATTCATCAATATAGTCCTACAAAATATAATTACATAGAATTAAGTCATAATTCAAACGCTTTGATCAATAATTAGTCATGTTTTGGGGCCAAATAAGTATGTAAAAAAACACACTTGTCATTTACCTTCCTCAACTTCAACCTTCACTTCCTCTTTCGTCAGCCCCGGAAGATCCGCCTTGAACACATGGCTTTTTAGTGTCTCCTTCCAGTAAATCCGAGTGGCAGCAAAATGAGATGTCTCACTGGAAAGGTCATAACTTGTAGGAAAAATGAAATGTACTTCGAAAATTGAACCCATTTCAATGCGAGTGTCAGCAAACTGAGGTGCTCTATCCATGTCCACGGTTTCAACAATCACGCTTTGAGGTCCATCGATTGTGGATCAAATTCGAATTGGGGGTTAGGGTCTCTGGATTTTCAGATTTAGGAAGTGTGTTCTGCAATAGCTGATGGAAGTTGTGCATTTGACATAAGGGTTTCATCTCACGACTTCAATTGATTTTGGGTAAGGAGTGTTTAGTTGGTATTTGGGAGAAATGATGTGGCATTTAACTGCCAACTGTAAAATCTGTCCTCCATGTTTGCAGTGGTTAATGTTGGGAGTCACTTGGTGAGTAATGAAGTGCAACCGCCAACCATATAAAATTCAATGAGTAATGAAGTACTCAAGTACAAGTTAAAAAACAGTTAAAACTTTTAGCACGTTAATAAAAGGTCAAATTCTTAAGGTTGGGTGTTCGAAATTTTCTGCTCTAACGATTCAAAAATTTATGGATAAGGACTGAATTATGGAAAATATGCTAAAATGAAATTTTGTAATATTATTTCTATATTTGTCAGTTGGACCACACAAAAATATCTACGACAAATAATCTTTCACATTTAGGGTGGTCCTAAAAGTTGTAGTGTTGTCTTTGTTTCGTACGATTTTTGCAAATAGGAATGACTAAAATTTGTGTTTTACCTAGTGGTGGCAATGGCCGAGCGCTTATGCAAGTAGGAATAACTAATATTTGTGTTTTACTTAGTGGTGGCAATGGGCCGAGCCGGCTCGGCTCGGCTCGGCTCGACTCGGCTCTTAATCGTATGAGCTCGGCTTGCGCTCATGGCGAGCTTGGCTCTGCCCACGAGCTAGTGGCTCGTCCAATCTCGTGGGCCGAGCCGAGTTTGGGCTCGTGGGCTCGTCCAATTTTATTTTTAAATATATTAAGAGTCTTACAAATGAATGAAATAATAGAAAACACTTTTTAAAAAAATAAAAAGTGTTAAAAAAATACAAATAATTTAACGAAAATAATTTTTTATTTTTTTTATTTATATCATATTGTAATACTTTTTATAAAGTATAAGATATTTATATAATAAAGAAGAATTATTTTTTGAAATATTTTTATAAAAAAAAAATTTAATTTTTTTTAAAGTAGATAAAATGTAAACCCTCCTCATTTATCTGGGTTTGGAACCGGCTACATCAATTTTAAGTAGGCAGTGTTAAAAATTGCATACAAACAATTTGTTGTAACGTGTACGATTTTTTAAAGAAAATAAAATTTAATGATTAAAAAATAAAGAAATTTTGATTAATATAATTAAATCAAATATCACTTACCTGACGGCATGCAATTTCAGAATATTTATCATATAGTTGAAAATGAGCGTCCTGCCAATCCTTCACGCACATTAACGCTTCCAAAACATCTTCTTTCAGTCGGCTTCTGACATCAATCAAAATCCTTTTACCTACACTAAAAGCAGACTCCGAAGCAACAGTGCTAACCGGAAGTGTCAGCAGATCTTTCGTAATTGCAAAAATAATTGGCCAACATCTTTCATACTTTCGCCAGAATTCAATTACTTCTTCTGAACTTTTTTTAATTGTTCTGTCTATTGGCATATTATGATTGAAGTAATCAATTAATTCGGCAGGCATCGCATTTTAAGTTTCGACCGATGTTTGATGAGATGCAAATGTAGACGACATGACACTAGATGAACACATTGCAGTTGCATCATATCTAAATGTATTAATGCCTTGAAATAAATTTATTATTTCGACATCATCTTCTTCAATTTCAACAGAAGGAGTAGGTGCAGAGGGTACCCGACTAACATTCACACCCATTTTTTCTGCATATAAATCATACATTCCACATAATGTTTGTTCTAAATTCTTATAGGTAATAGGTGTATCAAGTATTAAAGCTTTATTGATTTGATCAATTACGTATTTAGTTCCCGAAATATTATATCGGGGGTCCATTGCTCATGCTAAAGGAAATAACATAGGCAGTTCTTCCTAATATTTTCTAAACTTTAATTCCATAGCAATTATAATTTCACTAAAAGCATGATCATTTTTTATATTTATGGAATGTTCTTGCAATTATATAAAGACGTTCAAGCACTATACAGCTTGTGGGATAATAAACGCCGGATAAAATATTTGTGGTCTCATGGAAAGATGTCAAAAATAGTTTAATTTTCAAAGATAAAATCCAATCGGATTCATTTAACATACCATCGTCATCACTTCTAACGTGTCTATTTGTTTTCTACTAGGAGAGATCGTAATATATACTAATGTATTCCTAGTCCTTTGAAGTTCATCCTTTATATGTTTTAAACTATTTTGGACAATTAAATTCAAGATATGACACACACAACGAATATGAAATAAATACCCACCAAAATTAGGTTGAAGTGTCCTACACAATTTATCGACGACTATCTTATTAACACTAGCATTATCGAAAGTAAAAGATCAAATTTTAGTCTCGCAATGATATTCTCTAACAATACTGATTATAGTGTGTGGTTGCAGTTATATATGCTTTTTTATTAACCCCTTCCCATATATCAGAAGTTAAAGATATAACACCCCCATATTGTTGCAAATTAATAATTAATTGTTGTTTTGAATTATTGAAATAATTTATTGTATCGGCACGAAGAGTGTTTCGACTTACCCCAACGTACCTCGGTTGTAGATATTCTTTCACGAATGAGGCGAAGTGTTGGTTGTCTGCAATAGTCAGAGGCAACTCAGTGGCAGCAATAAATTTCACCATTCTGGTTCGAGTATTGTCCTCCGAATACACCCACATAGATATGGGTGAAGTTGTAGAATCGGCGCCTGAACTGCCAAATTGCAATTGTGCTTGACTAACTGGAAGAAGTCTATATCTGGCCGCACATGCTTTGTAGTGGTGGTTGAGATGGGAGGTACCAATTCCTTTTTGCCATGCCAATCTTTGTTGGCAGTATTTACATACTGCTTTAGATTCTGCAAGGCTATCGATGACTTTTCCCGTTAAAATCAACTTAGAGTGATCCCAATATTTTGCTTGTTTTTTGGCCCTTCGCTTTCCCTTTGCATGTGGGATGTTTAATTTGGTATCTTCATCCTCATATTCCGCTTCGGGAACGTTAATATCATCCAAATCAATTGGATTTTGGCTTCCCTGATCGTGAATGTGAACATCTTCAGATATCGGTAGGTCATTTAGACCGACAAATTCATTTGGAAATTGACTTTGCGGCGTCCTAGGCGATTCGCCATGATGTGGCCCACATCTGTATCGAACAAGTTTTCAACAAATGAGCATTGATCCATTTGTTTGATTGTTTATTATGAAATCTTAACTAAAAGAATATAAATGTAGTGAGATTGTGAGAATTGAGAATTGAATGAATTGAAATTGTAACTAATAAACTGTAAAAATTGAATTAATATTGTATATTTTTTAGTACAAGAGAGTAAAAACTCAATAATTGATATAATAAAAGAGAGTTGAGAGTGTTGGAGATTTGGAGTAGCAATTGATATGAAAAAAATCTTTGGGAGAAGAGGTATTTATAGTAGAAGATGGGAAAAAAAGAATTATTTCAGTGATCGAAACAGTCACTGAAATTTTTTCAATGACCGGAACGGTCATTGAAAAGATTCAGTGACCAAACGGTCACTTAACTTTTGTGGCTCGACGAGCCATGAGCCGCTTACCCAAGTCAAATTAATAAAATATAGTACAATAATAAATGAATTTATTTCACGTGGTGTACGTTTAACAAATATTACCCATTTTTGCTTTAAAAAAAATTCATATTTTTGTATTTAATTATTTATTACAGTTGTTATCATAGTTATTGTAGTTGCTAAGAATTTAATTATTTTAAAATTTTCATTATTTTAATAATAAATTGAAGTAACAATAAATAATTAATGAAGATTTTTTTATTTTTATTTTTTTGGTTTTGTTATAGAAGGGACAAAAGTAATTTCGTGCAAAAGAATGGCTAATTTGGTAGTTAGAACTTCATATACACGACCAATTAACGCCTAGACTTTACTCACAAAAGCTCGAAACATGAGGTTGACAGTATTTTTCATTCTGGCTACCATTGTAGCAACATGCAATGCAGATTGCCATATTCTCCAAGAGGGTAAAATCTACCTTCTCCGGCCACGGTCTGGTGCCGCCAGCTGGCATTTGACTCTCAAAACCAACAACCTTCAAAATCGGGAAATTGTGCCCATGTCTTGTGAAAAGTATATAGGTCACTACAAGCTAGATAAGCAATACCAACATGACTACGAATTGGTGGCAGATGCAACGACTAAATATGCCAAGGGCCTTAAATTTATTGGCAACAGCAAGGACATTTGGGTCTTTGATGTTGCAAAAATTGTCCTTACTAATATTCCATACTATGCTTGGTCCAACGTGTTGGGGAAGTATTATGATAAGCACTTCGACTACATAAACGAGTCAAAGACTCGAAGGGATTAAGCCCTAATGCAAAATATACCTCTACAATAAAAGGAATCGAGTCTAATAGTTTAAAGGAGATGGACATTTCTTGGCAAGTATGTGCACTTCTTTTCTCTACCGTATCACCACATGGGTTATACACCACATTGAGAAAGACCAATCTCCTATATGATTTCAACTAAAAGTAATTTCACTCTTAAAAAAGGTTGAAAAAATGCCTTTCCAATCAGTAAGACCATCAGGATTACCCCAATGTATGTTTGGATTTTCCACCAACACTAACATATTAAGTATATTTGATTTCAGGGCATTACCATCCAACAAAACATCATTTAATGAGTGGATTGCAGAGGGAAAATTACCGGCAGTTCCAGAAGCGTTTCATCTATATAAAACATTGCTGAGACTCAGGTTCAAAATCGTCTACTTAACAAGAATTCAAGAAGAATACAGAGAGGCCAGGATAGCAAATCTGAAGGCAGTTGGTTACCGTACTTGGGATAAGCTCATTCTCAGGTAAACTTGTGATTGTTTTTTCTATTCTTCTGTTTGCATTTTTTAGTATTATAGTCGATTTTTAAAACTATCAAAAAATCATAATCTAGTATTAATTTGGGTGCAGGGAAGATGCTGATATTGGCGGAGAATCCATTGATGAAGATATTGATGAATATTAGAAAGCATTATCCTTATCCCCTCCAACTATATACTCCTATTTAGTTAACTAGATTAGGTTCTTATTTATTTTGTATTTATCATGTACATAGTTTAGAATTATCTTTCACTGTATTTTGTGTATAAATACACTACCAATGTATTCAATAAAATGAAACAGAGAATTTCCTTTTCATGGTATCAGAGCCAAACAGTTCACACCTTTTTCATGGCTGATTCTATCTCTTCTCTGCTTCCGCTCAATACAATGGTCCATATGGTGACCATCAAACTCACTTCCTCCAATTTTCTTTTGTGGCGCAGTCAGTTTATTCCCCTTCTTGAAAGCCATGATCTCATGGGCTTCTTAGACGGATCATCCGTTGCTCCTTCTCCTCTCATTGCCGAAGGAACTGCCCGGGTCCAAATTCAGCCTACAAGAAATGGCGTAATCAGGATCGTATGTTGCTCAGCCTCATCTATGCTTCCTTGTCTGAGGAGTGTATGGCCGAGGTTGTCAATTGTGCTACTGCCCGTGATGCTTGGTTGACTCTCAAAACATCATTTTCTCATAGCTCCAAGACACGTGAAATTCAGCTGAAAGACAAACTTCAATTGCTCTAGCGTGGCTCTCGTAGCGTGGCTAACTGTGCTCGCTCTTTTCGCTCTCTCTGTAACCAACTCTCTGCCATTGGGAAGTCCGTTGATGATATAGACAAGGTGCATTGGTTTCTTCGTGGTCTTGGCCCTGATTATAAAAATTTTTCCACCACTATGCTGTCACAATGTCCACTGCCTTCCTTCGCCACTATGGTCTCGCAAGCTCTTAGCCATGAGCTCTTCTCTCGATCCATCCATGGTGAAGTCCAACAACAATCTGCTTTCATTGCCAGCCGCGGCTCCTCCATTATTTCTACTGGCCGAAACAAACATCACTCCTCTTCCAAAATGCACAGCCGCAACTCTTCCAAATCTGCTGCTGTTACTTGCCATTGGTGTGGCAAAGATAATTACACAACCAAGAAGTGTTATAAACTTGGTAAGTTGCTGAAAAAGGCTAAAGATGGTGGTCTCATTGAAGCTTTTTCAGCAACCTCTCTTGCAGACTCTCACGACATCGAGTGGTACACGGATACAGGGGCGACTTAACATATGACTAATGATGCATTGAATCTTGACTCCTCCATTCCTTACAATGGTAATGAAAGGGTGTTTGTTAGTAATGGTCATTCTTTACCTATATCTTGTGTTGGTTCTATTTCGTCTATTGTTGCTTCCCATCCGATACCTATGTCTAATGTTCTTCTTGTTCCTAGCATTACCAAAAATCTTATTTCCATCAGTAAGCTTACTAAAGAGAACAATTGTTCAATAACATTTTCTTCTTCCGACTTTATCATACAGGATTTGGCAACAAGAGCGGTGATGGGAGTCGGCCGATGTGAGAAAGACCTCTATGTACTTGATCGTGCCCATGTAAATTTTTTGTCTTCTGTTGCTCTTTGTAATAATCATGCTACCTCCGTCGTTTGGCATACACGTTTAGGACATCCTTCTATTATGATTTTGTCTTCTTTACACAAGCATGGTGATATTTTATTTTCCAATAAGAACAATTTTAATAATGATCCTTGTTTTGGTTGTCAATTGGGAAAGAATTATCGCTTACCTTTCTCTAATTTAGTTCAACGTTGCTCTTTTTTATTTGAACAAATTCACTGTGACTTGTGGGGACCGTCTCCAATTACCTCTCCGTCGGGATATAAATATTATTGTGTCTTGATTGATGATTTCTCTCGTTTTAGTTGGATTCTTCCTCTCAAGCTCAAATCACATTCTCAAATCACATTTTTTTGATATTTTTGT